GACTCCAGGTCTGGTTTGCGCCCGCCTCGGGGCAGCCTCGTCGGGGTTTGGTTCGTGAGGGTGCTCTTTTGGGAGAGGAGAGGAGAGGAGCGAGCGGTGTCCCCACGAGGGTGGTTTTGGGGCTGTTAGGAGATGGTGGCGCTGGGTGGAGGCTGTGGCTGAAGTTCAGGTCCCACTGCTCTTCCCAACTGCGACCCGCTTTGGCCCATGAGCCGTTTTGGGGTGACCAGTTGGAAGCAAGTCAGTGGGAAGCTTGACAATATCGTACAAGCAAGAACGCAGGACCTACAGGCCACCGTGGGAAGATGCCTTTGAAACACGAAAGGGCAGAGAGCTGGGGTGTGACTGCTGGGGACTGGGGGTGAGACCTCTGCGGTGGCTGGGTTCGGTTCGCTGTAGTTTGCATGCCCTGATGGATCCCCACCGCGTTCTTCCAGCTGCTGCTCCAGGGCGCTCACTGGGAGCTTTCTGGTCCGAGAGAGAAGACTGTAAGGATATTTGGTTAGCCTGGTAAACAGGAACGTATATAGTATCGCAGTCTCTCACAGTATTGAGTGATTTCCTGCCCGTTTCCTATGTCTTTTCCAGGCTCAAACCTACTCAAATGCAAACATTTCTGAATCGTTATCTTTGCCAGAAATACAAGAATTATCAGGCTGTGCTTACATAGATTCTATTTTTGGATAAGTAACCATTGAATGAATGTGACCTATGTACAGTGAATTGCCTGGCTGCTTCCCTGCTGTTATTTTGGGATCAGGAAGCCTAAATAGTGGGATCAGGAGATTGTGAAAGGATGCTGATGCTGCTGACAGCTTATTTGTTTTTTCTTGCTTCATTCATTGCCACTGATCAAAGTATTACTTGGAAAGAAAAAACAAAATGTATATTCGGTAATCCTGGTAATCTTTCTTGTGCTTCAGGGAAAATCTACAGCCTTAGGAAAATAACTGTCCTTCAAAGTAAGCTCAGCTCTTCCTCTGGAGCTGACTGTACTTCAGTACGCCGGTAGTGCAACTTCACCAGAACTGCTCCGGATAAAGTGCGGGGTGCGGTATTTGGCGGTTTAGGTGGCATTGATGCCGTTTCAGTGAACAGGCATGGCAAAGACAGTGAATTTATTGGTGACTGACAGTCTCGGAAAATAAGTCTTAGCTGCAGATGTGAGGACGCACAAAGGCATCATCCTCACGGCTCATTTTACAAATATGCGACAATTAGAAAACCAGCCGTGTGTTCAGAAATGTGTTTCTCATTTCCACAGATCCATACTGAGGCTTACTTGTACGAGCTGAGTTGTACCAGCAAATTTCTGCACTGAGACAGGGCACCTGGAGGGGCTTCCCAGGTGTTGGCTCTCCTTTCATTCCAAGTTCCTTACCATTTGGCTCTGAATTATTTGGGGCAGGAACAAGCTGTGCAGAACTGTACAGCATTTATCTCTTTTGGTCCTCCAAATATCAGTAAATAAATAATAACGATGATAGTCTAATCTAACGAGTATTTATATGACCATCTTCATTTCAAAAGGGTGTAAAAAGGCAGGTTTGTTCAGCTCCTGATTTTTTTCTAGATGGCAGCTCATGTTGACATACGGTTTTGTTATTCCCTAACTATGGTCTTTTTTAAGATTGATGACAGTGGTCTATCATGTTAAGACAATGGAAAATTACAACATTTTTGTGTTCTGTAGGTTAATGGAAGAAATATTTTGGAGTATTTGTCGTAAAATCTTTAGTGTTCCCTGCATACAAGTTAAAGATGTTCAGTCAATTTATACTAAAATTAGCTTATTAGAAAGTCTCTCTTTCTACCCATCAGACTTGTTACCTGTTTTAATTTTTTTTAAGTTTTTGAAAGTGCTTACCAGCATCAGTTTAGTCAAACACTACTATGAAATGGTGTAGAAAATATGCTGGGTGTTGAACTAAGGGCAGTTTTTCTTTGTTTCTTGTTCAGCTGCTGAAAATGTGCTTGAGGTTTAAAATTATTTTTCTCTATTTCCAAGTAGAAGGTAGTAATACAGCTCTTCTTGTTAACAGGCCGTTGACAAAGTCTTAGTAACCATGACTGTCACATAAATTAACTAACGTGCCTGTTTATTCTTTATTTTTTTCTGATCAGTATTTGCATTTTTATTTCCATGGCCATGAAATGATTTACATTTTTTAACTCTGACTATAATTGCCTGGTCATGTGCTGTTAATTTGGTAAATTCCTCTAAGAGAAACTAATTTTGCTTAGTTTTAAGGAATCTGCAAAGTCAGTCCTGCAAAGCTGCAGGGTCTGTTCACTGCTTTGTTCAGTTCTCTGTTTAGCATCAATGTTTTCTTAATTGTAGGTTTATTTTTGGCAAAAACCCCTCTTCATCCCAGATGGGATGCTTTGTCAATCACTACAAAATAGCACTCTGAGGTTTTCATAGAACATATTATGTTATTAGTCCTAACATCTTAATTAAGTTTTCGTGTATATAATAAAATTTGTGAGGAGCTAATTTAAATACTTTCCATCCTTGCCTGGGAGTGGGAATATTTGTGCAACAGAAACTGAATGCTCTGTATAGAGGGCTGTCTATTTTAAGGGAGAAGTTTGCCAGAAAAAAAAAAAAGATGGAACAAACAGAGATCACTCAGTAAAAATATTTGAGGGATTCAAGGCTCTGGGACTCTTAGGAGGCTCAGTATGTTGTGGAAGTGATGTGTACAGTCTTTGAAGGAAAGTTTGACATCATTTCCCTAGCGATATCTAGCTGCTGGCTGCTTTCCAGAATATTTTAGCAGGCAAACAGGCACAAGCCTTTTTTTTTTTTAATTATTTTTTTCCAGTGCTGCCTTTTATCTGGGGAAAAAAAAAAAGTCCTTTAAATTATAAAAGGAATTTGAGAGAATGGAAGCAATAAAAGCTTAAAAATAGGCATGAAGCTTTTGAAATGCTTCCCGCTGTGTGTTTATACATTGCTTAAAACAATTAAATAACAGCAGTAATTCAGGCACAGCAAAGCGAGGTCATTGTGTGGATTTAAGGTAGTCAAACTAATCATGTAAGCTAATGTTAGTGTTCTGCTGTGGTAACACTGCTGCTTTCTGTGGAAAACTTCATTTAAGCATCATTCCTTTTACCTTTCAAATTTTGATGTATTATCACAGTGGAGATCATTTAACTAGCTATCTTGATTCTTGATCTGGCAAAAGCATGTCTCTATTTTGATTATTTAAGTCTTAATGATGTAAGAGCTGGGAATGTGGCAAAGAAAGTAAGTAACCAGTTGGAGAAAATAAATAACCGATTGGCAAATCTTGTAACTGTTACTTGAAAAGACATCTTTTCTCTTTCCTCTTCTACCGCAAAGAATTGCCAGCAGTAATATCTCACGTAGTAAAGCTTATCGATCTCACATAATATTTTTGTGGTGTTACTCACCAAAATCAATATGCTGAGATCCTACTGTAGGAGCAGTCATCCTTTCGTATCTTGAATAGTGTTTAATTTTTATTTCTTGATAGTAATTTTCCAGTGCTGCTTATAGTATTAATGTGTAAATTAGCTGTTTGTAGTACAGGCTTCAGGTGCCTGCAGTATATTTACATCACATGCTGCTAGAATGGGTTTCAGATAGACTGTGAGCAGTGAACAGAAGGAGAGCTGGGTTTAAGTCTCAGAAACATTTAGAATTGCCCCTTCTCTTAGCAACTTAACAAAAGTTATGCTAATAGGGCAAGGGGGAGACAAGGTATGGTTAAACTCTCAAAAAAAAAAAAAATAGTGGAATGATGGGTAAATGAACCGCTAACATTTTTGCTCACTTTTCCCATCTTTAGCTATGACAGGGGATCCACGTTCAATGTGTTTGTGGGAAAAGGTCAACTTATTGCTGGGATGGACAAAGCTCTGGTCGGCATGTGCGTGAATGAGCGGCGGTTCGTGAAAATTCCCCCCAAACTCGCCTACGGGAGTGAAGGCGTCTGTAAGTGCAGCACCCGGCCAGTGAATAACTGGTTGTGCAGGTGATTCAGCAGAGCAGATAGAAAGCATAGGCACAGAAGAGAAGGGTAGAAATTGCAAGTAGTGAATTTCAGAGAGGTTCTCCCCTGCTCAGGGGTGTTTGTCAAGCCTATAGCCTAGCTAATCGCTCCAGGCTCCCTCTGCATGCCTGAAGGAAGAGCTGTTGACTGTGGAGGACCTTCAGCAAACGAACCTTGCTACTGAAGTTAACTATTTATTTATACCTACCCTGCTGTTAAATAGTTGTTGTATTTTGGCACTGCAGCGCTGCACGAGGTTTTGTCAGTGCCAAAAGCAGCTTTGCTCTGCAGACTCAGAGGCAACAAATGCTAAATCAAGAGCAGTTTGCCCGATGGATGTATTTGATAACAGTTCATGTCGCCACATTCTCTCCCCCCCCCTTATGTAGCTGCGACAGTGACAAGGGGACAGGGGGATATAAGCAGAAGAAGGACTCAGTTGTGCATCATGGATTTTATGTAGGGAATGCATAGATTGGTTCTCTTTTCACTGATGTCCTGTAAAGGAAATAAAACTAGTTGTGTTGTTTTGGTTTTGCAGCTGGTGTGATACCCCCCAATGCTGTGCTTCATTTCGATGTGCTTCTGATCGATCTCTGGAACTCGGAGGACGAAGTGCAGGTTCAGACTTACTTCAAACCCGAGAAATGTCCTCGGACAGTCCAGGTGTCTGACTTTGTACGATACCATTACAATGGAACATTCTTAGATGGGACCCTGTTTGATTCAAGGTACGCAGCTGGGTTGTGTGTCTTTGTGTCTTTTAATAGGTTTCTGATGTCACTTTAAACCATCACTTCCTCCCCCTTCACTAGTGTAACTATTCATGCTAATTGCCCAGAAAGACAAGAAATGAAATGTGTCAGTAATTCATTCAGTGATAATGGGACAGCAGTACTGACTCAAAGCAATAAAACAGTATGTTATTTATGTTCGAGCATTACCAGCCCAGATCCTTTCATTTTTTAAATTTCATTCTGTGTATCTATATTACTATTTATTGCAGTCAGGTAATAGTTTTTATAACCACTGCGGCATAGCTATTCAAGTTAGATACAAGCTTTATAAACTAAGCAGAGTTTGTGATGAAATTGAGCTACTGATGCTTTCATACTGAGATTTTAAGTTTATGGCATGTGTACTTCATTAAAGTTCTGTGGAAAATGATGCTTTAATAACAGCTGCCATTATATTCGTGAGCCACTTTTCAAAACCTCTGTTAGGTTCCTGAAATAGCTAAGCGCTCTGGAAGACACTACCCAGCCAGCCCCTGGTAAATCAAGGAGCAGTATTTCTTGAGCAGCAAGTTGTGAGTTGTATTGTGCATAGTGTGTGGCTTTTGAAGATTAATATTGTTCTTTCCTGTGGCTGTCTCAGATTTGATTGTGGTTTTGTTTTTGTTTTTTTCTTCATTTTTAGCCATAATCGGATGCGAACTTATGATACCTATGTGGGAATTGGATGGCTAATTCCTGGGATGGACCAGGGTCTCTTGGGAATGTGTGTGGGAGAGAAGCGCATTATCACAATACCACCTTTCCTGGCTTATGGAGAAGAAGGAGATGGTAAAAGTTGCGCCTTTTTTTTTTTTTTTTTAAATCAAAGTCATCCATATTGTAAAACAAACTTGTACTTTGTGTATTTCAAATTTATGGGCAATGTTATTACCCATTTCAGACAGATGGAACACAATGATGGAAAGAGAGGTTCAAAATGTATTAGGTACAGGGATGGACTGATTAAAGTAAAAGATTTTTAAAAAAGTTTAACCAGTAGGTTGCTTAACAGATACACTGTTGATGATAGAATTATAATCTTTTTATACTGAAATTTTATTTAATTCAGAGGATATAATCTGTGATTAATATCTAGTGGCTCCAAAAACTGGAAGTCAGATGACTGCATAATTCTTTCAGTGACTGCCACAGAGAGCAGAATTTTGAAAAAAGAAAAATATATTTTTAGTTCCAATTTTTATTTTTATTTTTTGCAACCAATGCCCTAGTAATAACTACAAGATGGATTAATTGTCCTGTGAGACTGTATGCAGCCTGCAGGTCACCATGTTAGGTGAGGGGACAGTTAGGTATAGTTTGGGATGCTTCCTTAAATTCTTTCTCTGCTCTAATGTTTAAGAATGTGTCTATGGTGTACAAGGTTTTGTACCCCTTCCATGACTTCATTATCATTACCTGTGATAGCCGTCTCCATGGATAACAAAACTTCGTGGAGTTGTGTTTTAAAATTTTGCCAAGATCTTGAGCTCAATGGTTCTCAGTCAAAGCAACCCATGCTATCGTTTATGTATTGGTGGAAAGGTACTTTTCCACTGAGATAGTCAATTTGCCCTTCTTCAACTTCCATCATGTGGCCTCCTGTTTTGATATTAACAGGATGGGAAGAGCGGGTGTACCAAATTTGTATTCCGATGGTTATGTATGCACTTTCATGAAGTGTGTTGGAAATACTGTTAGACTAAACCATGTGGCTCAGATGGAGCTGTTGTATATTGACCAAGATGAATGTTGCTGAAGAGGCTGTTGGTTTTGGTGAGGCAATGCCATCACAATAGGAACAGAAGGAAATAATTGAGTTGGAGAATTAAGTGACACACCCACACATGAAACAAAAAATGACTGACTAGAAGCAGATTATGCTAATTTATTTTGGGAGGGGAGGTGCCTGATATTCAGCAGTAGGTTACTTTTCTTCAACAAACATGTTTAAGCTCCTTCTAAAAGACCTACTCTTTCTTACCAATTTTCTGCTCAACACTCCTATAGGTAAGGAGATCCCTGGCCAAGCATCTCTCGTCTTTGATGTGGTTTTGCTAGATCTCCATAACCCCAAAGATGGTATTTCTATTGAGAACCAGCATGTGCCTGAATCTTGTGAGCGGAGAAGCCAGGCAGGAGACTTCCTCCGATACCATTACAACGGCACGCTTTTAGATGGCACATTGTTTGATTCCAGGTAACTGAACCATTTGGCCCTACAGATCCCGTTTCCAGTTTGGCTTGTCTGTCTTGTCCATAATATACCTAAATACAATTCTTTGGTTTTCCTTCCTTTTTGACATTTGTGAATGGAGTTGGAGTCTTTCCTTAAAAAAACTCATAGAAACCTTTTCAGTATGGGAAGGAGGACAGAGACCTACCTATTTTGTGTTATGACAGTACCACAGACGCCATCTAGGGGTGGTGAGGCACCTGCCGAAGCTATGTATGCTTTTGACACGCCTGCCTGAAGACTCTTTTTATTCAGATAAATAGAATTTATCTGCCAAAGAGGTAACACTCCTGAAGAGAGAGAAGATAAATATAATTCCCGTTTTATGTCCTGAGTCAGGTAACACTCCTGAAGAGAGAGAAGATAAATATGATTTCCATTTTATGTCCTGAGTCAATGAGCTAGTTTGAGATTAGTCTCAGGACAGCCTTTCCCATTGTACCTGAAAGCAGTTTGCATTTTGAAGGCTAATGTCTTTCAAGACTGAATTCAGCAACGGCGTCTCTGTGATAAAGGATGAGGGATTGCTGTCACATCAGATTCAAAGCTCTTTGGGTGCATGAGGCTCATATACAGAATTATATGATGAATAATAACCCTTGTAGCTTCCTGCCACTTTTGTTTGCTCTTTAACGAGCAGTACTTTACTTCCTCACTCCAGCTGGCACAAGTAGCTAAAATGAGTTGAAAATAAGCCACTGTAAAATGTTTTACAAAATAAACTAAGAAAATTTTTTGTCATATTTTTACAGCTGCTGCAGGCTGAAGATCAGGATCAGTTTGCAAACATTAGCTGAGAAGTATACTGTGTGTGCTACTTTCCACGAGGTCTAGTCAGGGAATTGTATCTCATGTAATTCAGTTGATGTGCAGTAAGTTTCAGAATCAACCTTGACCTCCCCATTCAGCTACCCAGCTTGGTGGGAGGATCGAAAGCAGGAGACCTGCATCAACAGTCATCACTGGCGACCTTAATTTACAGCTTAGGAAAACTTTTAAGTTAAGAACTTCAAGCTTATCCACAGTGCACCTGCCCAGAATCTCTCTTTTTTGAGGTGTAAATGAGTAGTGTCTGTAGTAGTTAAACGATCTTTTTAAATGGCTGTAGTATTTATATTAGCATTGTTGTCAATAAATAGTAATAAATGCTTTGTAGACAGCAGCGTCTACATCATTCTTAAGTGCTGGCAGTTGTTAGAGGGCTTATTTGTTAGAGTGTTGTATCCTGGCTTCCTGCAGAATTTACAAGAAAGGCCAATATCTAACAGGTATCTATGAAAAAATAGAGCAGCTAACAATAGTTATTGAAAGCCTTGGAGTTGGCCAAGAAAAAAAATTCCCACTAGTATAGCGAGCGTGCCAAAAGCACTGTGAATGGCTGGGGTTGAGAGCTTGAA